TAATTATAATAAAATTATTTCTTTCCGTGTATTGACATTAAAGGCGTAACTAATTATTGCGTAAATTACAATGGAAATTTTTTACAATTCTTTCCAATGATACCTTCTCCTCACTTTCGCACATAAAAAATGTGAAATTTCATGTTTATTTAGTAAATACTTTTTAAAATGCATGAGGTTTAATCAAATTTATATTTGGAATTCAGGAGAAAACAATACATTTGAAACCAATCTCAAATATTGGAATTCAACTACTTAATCTCTCGGGTAAATAAAGTGGAATTGATTTAAATTTGAACTTATAAACTTATATTCCAAAAAAAGAATTCAAGGCAATTAAATATACAAATTTTTTAAAGGAATTGGAAGGAATTAGGCATTCCTATAATGTATTCCTGTGAACGGAATACGAAACAATTTAATATCAACATTTCTTACCGGACTAGAAGGAATTAAACAAAGCAGAAATATATTCCTCTTTTCGGAATTGCACAAAAATCAGAATACAAAAGGAGAATAGATTATAATTGATTCACAGAAAATATATTCCTGTTGTGGGAATTGGACCTGGAGAGAAAAATCAGGTATTAAATAGAATAGAAAAATCATCACTTTTACGTTGAAACTATGAGACATTGAATCCTATTGTATTCAAGCCTTTTTACCGGGATATTCTCAAAAGATCACTACATACTAGCTATGAACAAATAGATTAGAAATTGAGCAACTACTCACAATTTTTGTCTACTAATGCCCCCCTTTTTACCATTATGCAAATTACATAACATTATCAACTTACCTGAAAACTCCCAGTAGCGTGAAAACGTAAACAACATAGTAGCTGAAGTTCAGGTGCAATCGGAAGACTCCTTGCAGAATTTTTAATTAATCGTTCCCTAACCAAAGGTAATAATATATTCCTGATTGTATTCTTCCCAAATCGATACCGCTTTTTAAATTCTAAGTCACTCCAAACCTCAAATGGACATTGCACATCGCGTACGTATCTTTTTGGTATTCTAGCAAACCGGAAAACGTAATCTATGAAATCTTCATAGCCTTCGTAGTAATCGTCAATGTCTCGGAATGCATCCATTATTCAGGTTATATCCAGCTTGAGCAACCTTCAAAGGTGATTTGACAATTGCACGATTTGAAATGAGGTTCAATCTCCGATCGATATATAAGCGACGTTTATGAATAAAGAGAATTGTGATCCAGGCTTGAGAATCAATTATGAATACATAAATCACGATCATGTCTCAAGCTTCGCTTGACCAAACCATGTTCAGCGAAGACGTGTTTAAATCTAGCTCACAATTCAGTATAAATAAGCATGGCGGTTTGAGAAAGGCTCAAAACTTAGTTCAAAAGCTGAGCTACGACTATGAATACGGGCCTCGGATGAATTCAACACAAACAGTTACCCAGCTTTGCATTTATGAAAAACTAGCTTAAAAAAGACTTATCATATTTACGGGTACTCATTCGATGTTCATTTATTCAAGGAATTCGAAAAAAGGTGTAGAATGTAAATGTATACGGGACATTATAACATAATTCAGTTTCCATGTCCAAAAGTGCATGCAATAAAAATTTTCCTTCGGCGTTTAACTGTTTAAATATTAAGATGTAATTTTTTGTTAAGCTAAGATAATATCCATACTTCAAAATCAGGGACACTTCGGAATAATATTGAAATACTTTTCCTTAATTGTGTTTGTTTAGAAACATTTTTTTTTGGGACGTCCATTCTGCTGTTTGGGCGATTCAAATTCCGCGCTACTCCCGTCGCTCGTATTCAGCGCCGCCGGTGGGGACAGCAATAGAGTTCGAAAATTCTCGGTAACATTAAATTGGAGAAGGTAACTGTGAAACATACCGTAAGTTACCGGGAACATTGAGAATTTAAGAGAACGTTAATTTTGTTATTTATACTTTAGGTTTCTTCGTTTAAATAACTTTTTTTTTCGGTCAACTTCAAAGTTCAAGCTACAGAGTAATAATTACTATTAGAAAATATTGATTATAGGGTCGTATTTCCCTCCAGCTAAAAATATTCACGTATCTACAACTTCACGGAAAATTCCATGCGATTTGTTTCAAACGAACTGATATTTCATTCTGCGACGAAGCGAATGGGAGGTTGTGATTGGCTACGGAGAACGTACAACGGAAATTCCCCTCTACGATGTTTCTCTATAGCTAATCGAAACCTCTCGTTCGCTCTGTTGAAAAATTCAAATTCTCATAATTTCTCGATTAAAAAGGCTTTGGAGAAATTACCGATAAGTTATCGGGAATTTCTCTTCGTTTCTGACGTAACTTACTGGATTTAGAACTTTAGTCCAGTGTATTGTAAGCACTGACTGCTAATATAATTAATATAATTATTATACTTATATTAGTAGTCAGTGTTATAAGAAGGTTAGGTTACACAACACTGGATGCCGCCATATTATGATCAGTCCATTCAGCAGAAAAACATGTTCCCAACTAATCGGTAACTGCTTTTCTCTTCCGAATGTACCCATTGAAAACCTTAGCAACTACTCTCTGTTGAAACTTAATGTTGTGAACATTAGCGCCGTAGATCGGAACTATTTCGGCATCTATTCATTTCAAACAAGAGTTGGACTTCTAAAGTATGTCTGAATCATGTTCTATGGTCTCAATTTATCGCTCATAGCGGCGGTTGGTGGAGGTTTCAGACAAACAGTTCGTAACGAAGAAACTGCCGCTTTTTAAGGATTCGGTGATAAACTGGTTGGCCAGGCCATTGTTTACAAGTGGTTGCACATTTTCTGTTGAGTTCGACGTAGCGAAAGCGTCAAAAATAAAAATTATGTAAAAGGCGGCAGCAGCAGCAGCATACCACATAACCTATAAAATACAACCGCCTCGTAAGCGGGATAACGAGTTTAATACTGGTAAGTTAAAAGTTTATGTTATTACTCTAGAAACGCTTTTTCAGTTTTTCAGATATGATATTTTCCCATTATGATCAACATTTTTCTCGGAATAAATAATTAGTCTTTCTTGTCAGATTGTAGAATAACTATTTTGCAGGCTTCAAATATTTGTGCCAATTCAGTAATCAGATGGAGTTTATACATTTATTTATTGTTTAAAGTGTACTTAGACATACTGACAGCATCATTCTTTTTTTTTATATTCGACTTCTGGACTTTTTTTGAAGAGACTGCAAAGAAGAATCCATATTTTATATTTCTTCCAGTTTGTTTCAGCAAAACGCAGAAGAGTCCATATTTTTTATCGATATATTCAATATTTTCATAAATTATTGAGGTAATTAATTTCTAGGAAAATGGCTCCCAACAAAAAGAGTGATTTGGATAAACAATCTTGGGCTTGGGTAGAAATTGTAGAACCAGATCAAGTTGAAAGAATTCATCTGGAGACTGCTTATAGGATCGGTCTGAAAAACTGTAAAAATTGCAAGTAAGATTAATATCGAAATATACCTAGATAATATCAAAACAAAGGTGGTATAAGGATTGAAAACAAGAAATTATTTTAGACGAAACTGTGCAAACAACCCACAGTGTCTGACAGGCTTAGGTGAAGAGAAGTATTTAAAATCCCAACCAGCAAAAGTGGCATCGTTAGAAAGCTCTCTTGTGGAACTACGCGATCCTACGCAATACGTTGGGCTACAAAATTTAGGTGCCACGTGTTACGTTAATAGTCTCATACAAGTCTGGTTTCACAACGAAGATATGAGGTACTATGATCAGATATACCATTCATTAAAACAATATAAAGCCAAATCAACAAAATTGTATTTAGCAATTATTAATGATTTTTCATTTATAGAAAAATAATTTACAAGTGGAACCTCATGGAAGATCCCGAAGAGCAAGAAGCACTCAGAGTTTCCGAGAAAACTGGAGAGCCTTACCATCCTGTTACAGCAGTGGGACAACTACAGTATATTTTTGCTATGATGCAATTTGGAAATAGACGTCTTCTAGATCCAACTAATTTAGCTATTGCACTCTCTCTGGATACCACCACCCAGCAAGATGCACAGGAATTCTCAAAATTGCTTCTCTGCCACATTGAGGGAAAACTGCAGCAGCATTTGGAACTAAAGGAAACACTGCAAAAACTTAGTCAGGGGAAATACAGTTACGTAAATTGGTAAGAATTGTGATTATTTCACTGTTTCTTATTAGTTAATACATCTCATTCTGATATGGTAAAAACTTATTTAATTTGAATTTTAGTTGTACAACATGTGGTACTGAATATTCAACTTCTACCACATTTTATGAACTAGATCTTCAACTCGCTCCAACTTTAAAAGAAGCAATTGAAAAGTACCTTACTGAGGAAAAGCTGACAGGAGCAAATCAGTATCTTTGTGCCACATGTAACGATAAAAAAGATGCAAGAAGGTTTATCCGTTTGGACTCTCTTCCAGAGTCTTTAAATATTCAACTTCTAAGATTTGTTTTCAATAGGTTAATTATATTTTTTAATTAACAATATTTTCTAAATCAAGTGCAACACGATTTAGGATATTTTTACTTACAGACCTAATATGTTTTAGGGAGTCGGGTCAAAAAAAGAAGTTAAATTCATTTATCCAGTTTCCAGAAGATCTAGATATGTCTCAGTACCTCAGATGCTCGCCACAAACCCATCTCTACAGTTTAGTAGCCGTATTGAGTCATAAAGGACCATCGGCTCATTCTGGACATTACATCGCTAATATATGCAGTGCTGATGGAGAGTGGTATCAGTTTAGTGATGACAAGGTTGAAAAGATGCAGAATAAACGAATAGAAGATGGCATCACTGGTAAGTTGAAAGGAACTAGATAGGAAATAATTGAAAGTATATTTTCATATCTTTAACACAGCTTACGTTTTTCTTATTGACGTTAGAAACAACAAAAAATGTCAAAAGAGGCAGAGTACCGAAAGGATTTTTGTCATCTAACACTGCGTATATGTTGGTATATAAAAGACTACCTTTTGATGCAAAAGTCGCTGCATCAAGGAAAGGAAAAGTGAAAAAATCTGACACGGAAGGAAATGGTAATGGGAGCACTCAGTTAGAAAAGATATCGACTTTGGGAAACTTCAGTCCTGTGGAGATAACAGAGGATGGAAAGCGAAAGAGTCCTGATCAAAATTCTTCTAAAGTCATTGAATGCTCCAGCCCGGAGAAAAAGTCAAAAATGGATATGGAAAAGATGGAAACAGATGTCAGTCCAGTTCCTAATTCTATCCAGGGTCCTTCAGTGATCGAGCCACCAATAGTTGACGAGGCAGAGAGTCAGACGGTGGACACCAGTGAGATTTCTGTTCCTGGACATGCTAAAATGGAGGAACGCCACAAAAAGGTTATCACTGAGAGTTCGGGAATTGATTACAGTACAATGAATGGAGAAACACATCGAACAATGAGCTGTGGCCAACGAGACTTCCTGGAAGAGGTTATAAACGTTTTATTCTTTTTTTTTTATGTACAGTTGCTGAAATACACGAAGGAAGTAATTTTAATAATTATCTGTATGAAATCCAAATAGATGGAGTTTGAGAGGTGGCAAGTTAATGGTACCATGAGGGAACTAGTGCGACAGGAAAATGTAAAACACGAGTTGAGTTTACTGGCTGTTCAGCAAGAGAAGGTATTGCAAGATTTAATTGCATTTATAAATTTGAAGAGGTTTTTGTAAGATCATAATTTCCTTTATTTCGTTAATCCGTTAATTTATTATTTATTTTAACGGATTGTTTTGTGTACAGCAAAAGGAAATAGAAGATCAAAACGAGAAGAGACAATTAGTTATAGACTTTTACAATGCAGTGGCTAGTGCCACATCCTGGGTTGAGTACCATTGGATACCGACGGACTGGATAGCAAAATGGTTGAGTTCCCAATCTTCTACGGAAGGGGTTCCACCAATTGATAATTCTACCTTGCTATGTCCTCACTATCGTCTCGATCCATTGAAAGTAAATCGCGCTAAATGTGTTCCTGTGCAAGCTGCAGAGTTACTCTATGGGAAGTACAGGGGTGGACCAAAGTTGGATCAAAATTCTCTGTGTGAGAACTGTGTGAAGAGAAGGTGTAAAATGTTAAGATTCAAAATGGCTCTGGAAAAAGACTACAAAGAGGTCGGAGATTTGGTACGAAATTTCAAAGATCAGTAAGTGAACCACATTTCTTGCTTCCGATTATCAAAAAGGTTTTCAAAAAGTGCTCTTTGTTCAATATTTGTAAAATGTACTGAAAACAAATATTTGTCTGAGGAGTTAATTCGAGGTCTTTAAGGTAATGGTGACATGGAATTCAATCATTTTCAACTCGTCAAATTTTGTTCTCAGACGATTGGAGACAGGTTACATCATTGGTGCGGATTCTTTGAGATCGTGGCGAAGGCTCGCCACGGAAAAATTCACCGAGTATTTGGAACATCATGCACAAGATGATGAATTTCCAGAGCACCAGGAAGAATCCAATAGTCGAAACGATAGTTCAAAAGAAGTGGAGGAATCCGAAGAGAATGAAGTCGTAATTAATTTTAACGAGGACCTGCTCTGCGAGCATTATTCACTGAAAAGTCCAGATTCCAGCCGGAAAGTCGTTCCTCGAGAAGTTTGGCATATTTTGAAGAAATATTTTCCTGACTCAAAGGAGTATCCTGCAGACACTCCTGCCTGTTCGGTCTGCGAGGTGAGTTTCTGCATATCTCATAATTCCTATACTCTTAACGGCGTTCACCACCAAAGTGGGGACGATGACTTCCACCGCTAGATGGCATTAGCATCGAATTCGGTGGGAGGTAACCAAAACGTACTTTCTCGNGCTATCCGTCCCAACGTCTCTACGGGCAGGTTCGGCAGAGTCCTCTCCATGTAGGGCCTCGAGCTTTGGACTGAACGAAATCGGGAATATCTTAGATGTACCCTTACATCTTTCCCTTTCTGTTTCTTTCGTCCTTCGTTTGGTACTTACTGTTCATTCTTCTGGCGATTTTTATTATTCATTTCTAACTGGTTTCATTTGCCGTTATAGATGAAAATACAAAGAGACCTGCAGAATCTGTGGAGAATCCACCAAAACGGGCATGCCAAGAGGTTGGACATAAGTCTGATAATGAGGAAAACTTTTTAAATCCTACGCAGTTTGCACCCGTTCAAAATGTTTCCGTCCGTGGGCAATCTACCTCAAGATGAAGGCGTTTCGTTAATTCCTCTCGTTCACCATCTTCATCTGATCCAAAATTAAATGCGATTCAAAAGGAATCTAATGCCCGTTTAAAAAGATTAACCCAACTTAATATGCAAGAAGTAGAATTACACGCATTATGTATACAAGCCGAACGTTATAGAGTTGACGCAGAACGTCGGCGTGCAGAGAACGAGGAAATAAAAACAGAAATAAACAAATGTAAAAAAAAGAAAAGCTGAGTTAGAATTAAAAATTGTAGAACTGCAATACTTAAAATGGCAAAATGATGTTAATTTAACTAAAGATATATAAGAATAAATCGTTATGAAAAATTACAACAATGATGTTCGAGAAAATAATTTTTAATATTTTTATCGTGTGATTTAACTGATGTTACTCCCGTTCAATCGCTAAAAAATTGATTAATCAATGCTTGTCGAGCGGCAATGCCTTCAAGTAGTTGTTCAGGGATACGATTATCAGGCTGTTGTTCTTGTGGAATTTCAAATTCATCATCTTTCGGCATTACATCATTAACTTCTATACTGATATTATGTAGTACTGCATAAGCCACAATGATGTAGCGTACAGTTTGAAGGCTGTTGCCTGGGCCTCTTCTCAGGCATGGAAACCTTCTTTTCCAAATTCAGAAAGTTCTTTCGATAACATTTCGAGCTTTTCGATGCGCTCTATTATATAATTCTTCTGCCCTATTATGCGGATTTAATACCGGAGTGAAAACAAATCTTGATGACGGGTATGCAGAATCCGCCAACNGTTCGTGTTGAAATTTCTTCATTATCAGATCTATCTGCAGGGTCTAATTCACTTTCGGTTTTGAAATCACGAATATATCGTACTATTTTTTTGCCAAGAGTTATATAACGATCACTATCACTAGCACTTGATTCACTTTCAGATAGAAAACCAGCTCTTCTTTTTCTAGGAGCTGTATGATGAAGATCTTCATCTTCACTACTCGAAAATTCAATCCTATTAGCTTGATTCTCTATTTCATATAGTTCAGTATCGGATGCACCGGATTCGATATCTGACTGGTTTCCTCTTATTTGGGTCATTTTTTTTCGCAATTCAAGATCTCTTACATTTTTTGTCATAATAGCAACCCTTATCTAAAACTGAAATATTTATTTACATCTACGTAAATACATCTTATAAATAAATTCTGAAATTTCCTTGGTGCGCAAAAATTCTTCAAAAATAATTTATAAAATTTATTTTTTTTTTGTGTTACTAAAAATGCATTATTCTCTCCGATGCCATAAATCGAAATGGAAGAACACAAAGAATTTTTTACCAGAGCTTTCATAAAAGCCTTCAACAAAAAAGACTTGCAACAAATAATATCACAATATTGAATGTGCAAGTTTGCAATAGATATCTAACTAGTAAATTGACAAGTGTGAACATGAAAACTGCCATAAATCGAAATGGAAGAACACAAAGAATTTTTTACCAGAGCTTTCATATAAGCCTTCAACAAAAAAGACTTGCAACAAATAATATCACAATATTGAATGTGCAAGTTTGCAATAGATATCTAACTAGTAAATTGACAAGTGTGAACATGAAAACTATCGAATCAGATTGTTTACAAAGAATTTCTATGGACAAGAAATAAGTTACATGTGTGTAAAACGACCAACTTTAACCCTAGAACTAGCGGCGGATTTTTTTTTGTATAGGATGGGCCATTTAAAACCAGTCATTTTGACTGGTCTTGGTAGTTCTAGTGTTAAAAATATTTAACCCTTTGGGGACGGAGCTCTTTTGACATACGGGCGAAATTCATGAATACGTGCAGGCAATATTGGACCAAACGTCGGACGCATATATGTGGCGGTAGCCCGCAAAGGGTTAAGATGAAGTGAAACCCCCTTCAAATCAGTCGATTTGAATACAACACTTTTTTTTAAGGGTATTAGACCAAACTGTCCGAAACTTTGACACGTCACTCCTGATCGTCTAAGAATTGTCCTGACACATTTAAAATTTGGATTTTTTAACAAAATTTTTGAACTCAGCCCAGACCAGAACCAAAATGGCGTCGAGCTCTCATATTTCGATCAATATACAATTATCGAAGGCTCTGATATGAGAATCGAAAGGATCAGGACAATTTCACGACAATTTAGAACACTCTGGTAATCGATAAACTCGCATTTGAACAGGATAAGGGCAAAAAAGTGTTGTATGCGCTTCTATGCTAAAACGATGGGAATACGGGGTCTCGGAGTGACAATTTAATTGACCTGGAAATCACAGATGGCGCAGGGGGTCCCTCTGCAGTCAATTAGGGCCCCAGAAAGCATGAATCCAGAGGATTTCTGGAGTTTTACTTAGATTTCTTTATAATTATTGTATGAAAACGACAGGTGGAGTATGCCATTTGGTACAATACCCAATATAATTCGACCCAGCTGTCAATATAAAAACGAACGTCGGCAACGGAGGCATTTAGAAAAATCTTCTTTATCGACGTTGATCAAGTTCCTCGCCGTGTTTCACTTCACCTTAATGAGTCCATCAAAATAGGTATAGCACATATGGATTTTTAGAACTAAGGAGTAGGGAGAGGAAGGAATTAGCATTTGTATACATTTCATAATTTTATTAAAAACCAACATATGTTTTAAAAATAAATTATTTAAGTTTTTCTGTATATATAACAATAAAATCGTAAATGAGTCAAATTGACTCGTTCCGGCAATCTAGTGTTAAGGGGCCAGGAAAGATGATTATTGAATCGGGACGCCATAGCTGAGAAAATTGCGTGAAATTTCGTGGGGAGTATTCTGCGAAACGAATATTTGCCAAGGAAAACCCAAAACACGAGGAAACTTGATATCTACGAAATGTGACGGCTGGTCATTTCTTGACGGATCGTGCAGTAGGAATCGGGATTTCATTCTCCACAAGAGCCAGTAATAAACTTACGATTTCAAAGCAATAATCCGTCAATTTCACTGTTGCGGACCGCATACTTTATGCATTTCCGACTTTTGAAATACGTCAGGCGTCAGTTTCGCGTTTTGGGCTTGAGGTATCAACCATTAAGGTGAAGTGAAACACCCTTCAAATCAGTCGATTCGAATACAACACTTTTTTTTAACGGCGTTCACCACCAAAGTGGGGACGATGACTTCCACCGCTAGATGGCATTAGCATCGAATTCGGTGGGAGGTAACCAAAACGTACTTTCTCGCTCGGATGAGGGAGACGCGACGCATAATGGGCAGTGTTTAGCAACGGGCGAAAAATGTGTGCGTATTTTGCACGTATACAACTCACACAACGGCTAGACGCCTCTGGACTAGGCGCCGAAACGTGTGTGACCCCCGGCCGCCCGCACACGCCAGTTGGACGCTCCGCCTAGAGTCGGCAACGGTTGCTAAGGAATGCCCAAATTCCTCGCGAGAAACTCGAAAATCCTGAAAAAGGTGTTCCACGGGGACAACGATTTCGAGCGTATTTCTCAACCGATCGAGCTCAACGAGTGTTCGTTTTAAAGATAAAACGTTGACGTGTGTTTATACGGGAGCGATTTTCGATCGAGCACCTCCTTCCTAGGTAAAAGGGCATTGAAATTATGTCGTTGCACTTTGTTATATGAAAATGACCACATATCGAAAATCGCTCCCATATAAACGCAGGTCAACGTTTCATCTTCGATATGAGAAATCGTTAAGCTTGATCGGTTTAGAAATACGTTCGAAATCGTTGTCCCCGTGAGGCCCTGCAAAATCGCTGGAGTGGTGAGCGCCCTTAAGGGTATTAGACCAAACTGTCCGAAACTTTGACGCATCACTCCTGATCATCTAAGAATTGTCCTGACACATTCAAAATTTGGATTTTTGTAAACAATTTTTTAACCCAGCCCAAACCAGAACCAAAATGGCGTCGAGCTCTCATATTTCGATCAATATACAATTATCGAAGGCTCTGATATGAGAATCGAAAGGATCAGGACAATTTCACGACAATTTAGAACACTCTGGTAATCGATAAACTCGCATTTGAACAGGATAAGGGCAAAAAAGTGTTGTATGCGCTTCTATGCTAAAACGATGGGAATACGGGGTCTCGGAGTGACAATTTAATTGACCTGGAAATCACAGATGGCGCAGGGTGTCCCACTGCAGGCAATTAGGGCCCCAGAAAGCTTGAATCCAGAGGATTTCTGAAGTTTTACTTCGATTTCTTGATATTTATTATACGGAAACGACAGATGTAGTATGCCATTTGGTACAATATTCGATGTAATTCGACCCAGCTGTCAATATAAAAACGAACGTCGGCAACGTAGGTATTTAGAAAAATCTTCTTTATCGACATTGATCAAGTTCCTCGACGTGTTTCACTTCACCTTAAATAGCAGAAAACTATTTTGCTAGTAGGACTGTTATGACTGCCAATCACTTTTTCAAATGTTGTACAATTTAATATTGAAAAGAAAAAACGTAAATCCGTACTTTACTGAAAATTCATATATATTTGCATTCTGCATGTAAATGGTTTTACAATTATGAATTGCCAATTACACAATAACACTGCTGGCGTTCCAGGATTGGTAATGTAACACCGGTAGTCAGTAGTGTCAACCATCTGTATTATTGGACCGTATCGAATTTCATATTTTACGCAGATGATGTAAAAGTCACTAAAGACTTTGGGTCTAGCTCCCTGATCTACGTCAAAGAATTCAGAATCCCATAGAAGCCCAGATCCTATGTTAGCGCTTGATACTCTAAAAGTTGGCTAACAAACCAGAAGTGGGGGTAAAAAAGAGATCGCACGTGTTAGCCAACGATATCTCACGTACGGAAGGAAGAGAGACGCATATAGAAAGGCGAGTATTGCGTGTAAGATAAAGAAAGAATGCAATCGCTATATATTGCCATAAGATTAAGAGATATGGAGAG